AACATCTTTTAAAGCACCCCCAAATGATCCTGTGCATCCAGGCAGAGTCCCTGCTGTTGGGAGAAGGAGGTATAACAATGTAGGGCAAGGGTCTTCTGGGGTTGCAAGCCCCCTGCTTTGTGGGGGTGAAGGTGGGGTGTTTCTTGCACCCAGGAAAGTTGCTGCGAGAGGCCATATGCTTTCTCTCCCTCCAGACCAGCTTGTGTGGCGTGCTGCCCGCTGCAGTGGTGCAGCTCCCACTTACTTCCGGCCCATAGGACGCTTTCTGGATGGTGGGCTGCTAGCCAACAACCCAACCCTCGATGCCCTGACAGAGATCCACGAGTACAACAAGACACTCATCAAGAAGGTGAGGGAAATCCTGGCCCTGACTGGTAACTGGGGCTTTATTGGCTCCACAGAGCCTCCTTTGAAGGTTTGGGAACGGATGGATGCCTCTCTGATGGATAAACAAGTTAGCCATGCAGCGCCTTAGAAGGGAGTGTAAGGAGGAAGATGTGTGTTGGGAATGCTCTGCATTAATTGTTGGTCCTTGCAAACAAATCTTTTGTTTGCCCACAGGGTAAAAAGCAGGAAGTAAAAAAATTGGGATTGGTGGTCTCCCTGGGGACGGGGAAGCCTCCGCAGGTACCAGTGAGCTCCGTGGATGTTTTCCGTCCCTCCAACCCTTGGGAGCTGGCAAAGACTGTCTTTGGAGCCAGGGAGCTCGGCAAGATGGTGGTGGATTGTGTGAGTACTGGGAGGAGGGATGAGGGAAGACCCCTGGAGCTGCTTGCAGGGAGGGAGCAAAGGTTTCCAGTCTTCAGCTGCTTCCTTTTGGAAGAAAATTGTATTTCCTTGGAACTGTTCTGATCAGTTCAAGGAATAGACATAGTGGGTAACTTAAGAATTGTGTGTGCACATCAGGTCTGAAGCCCTGTCTTCCTCTCTGGGGATTTGACTGCCAAGGGAATTTCTTGCAGCTGAAAGGAGGTGAGGACAGGATGGTGGTCATGACCCTTAGGGACATTTTCAGGTGTGAATTCATGAAACTCAGTATCTTTTAGGGAGCATCTGAGCAATCTGGACCAGAAACAAACCCCACAACTTGGAAAACACCAATTCCTTCTTATTTAGAAAAGCTGTGTTATCCCTACTGGGGAAATTAGTAAATGCTGGAGAAGTGGGAGCAGCACTAACAGAAAGCAGTAGTTCAGAGCAGTGGTTAAGAGTATGTAATTAGGCATATGTCCTTGCATGCTTTAGAAAGATCATTACGTGAAAACACTCCAAATGAATAACAGCCAGAAAGATCAGAACACAGGTTCTGACTGTAATCTTGCTTCTGTTGCTTTCTGTCCTTTTAGCTCCCTAAAGTCAGGAAATATCCAGAGAGATCCCTCTGCTTCCCCTGTCTTTTATTTCAGGGGTCCCAGGGAAGGTGTTTCAGGATAGCCCAGAAAGCCTGTAGTAATCACAGGCTCTGTTGGTACTGGGCTGGGACAGAAATGGATAGAGGTGAAATCCCATGGAGGCTGCAATTCAGATCATCCTGGGGGTATACTTAAGGGAATCCACTTGGTGCTGTGATGGATGGAGGATCTATAGTGTGCAGTTCCTTGTGTCCCAAGGATCGGGAGCACTGTTCTTATATTAAAACGAATAAAAAGCCACCCCTCTCTTGGTGGTGACCGATGCCTTCTGGCATGCACTTGCTTCTGGTTTTCCCTTTCCCTCTGCGGCTTGTGCAGTTTGACTTAGTAAGTGCTAGAGAAGCCAGGAGCCTCTTGCAGGCAGGGGAAGAGCAGTGTGGCAGTCAGGCTCTAACTGTGGGCCTGGTTCTCCTGCAGTGCACTGACGCAGATGGCCCAGCTGTGGATCGTGCCAGGGCCTGGTGTGAGATGACAGATGTCCCGTATTTCCGGTAGGAGCTTCCTTTCCGCTCTCTGCACCAACCTATTTTTATCCCTTTCACTTCAGACCTGCCTGAGGCATGTGTCATCCCAAATAGTGTCCCCTCAAGAGGCATGCCTGCCCAGACCTGTCTTCCTGCCCCTCTCCTCCTGCCTCAGTGGCATAACAGAGGATGCCATGGCTCACTGTATGCGCTGATGGCCCAAGCATGCCTTGTCTGGGATCAGTGAACGGGGTCTCAGGGGATGCTAGCTAATGGGGTCCTTTGAGACCTGCCCTATCCCACCGTGCCACAGCCTGGTTTAGAGCCATGCCTTAAGTGGTGCAGGTGCTGAGCTGTGCCTCAGCCTTGAGTGTAGGTTTGCGTTGAAGGAGGGGGAAGGCCTCTGCTCTGCAAGCGTGCTGGATGTCCAGTATCTGAAGGGGGCCCGCAAGGATGCTGGAGAGGGACTCTTCATTACGGACTGTAGTGATAGGACATGGGGCAATGGGTTTGAACTTAAACAGGGGAAGTTCAGGTTAGGTATAAGGAAGAAGCTCTTCACTGTGAGGATGGTGAGGCACTGGAACAGGCTGCCCAAAGAAGTGATAAATGCTCCATCCCTGTCAGTGTTCAAGGCCAGGTTGGAGAGGGCCTTGGGTGACATGGACTAGTGTGAGGCATCACTGCCCATGGGCGGGGGGTTGGAACTAGATGATTTTAAGGTCCTTTCCAACCCAAACCATTCTGTGATTCTGCGTTGGGAGCCACTTTGAGAGCCACTTAGCACAAATCTTGTGCTTGGCAGGCTCAGTGCCTTCCTGCGTTCATGTCTGTGCTCAGTTGGTGATGATGTCTTGCTGTATGCAGGCTGAGCCCACAGCTGCAGACAGAGGTGATGTTGGATGAGGTGAACGACTCTGTGCTGGTGGATGCTCTCTGGGACACCCAGCTTTACATCTACCAGCAGCGGGAGCAGTTTGAGCAGCTGGTGCAACATCTCTCCCGATGACTGACCTGGAGGTTCCTATTCTGCATCCCAATGGCAAGGAGCAGCAGGCACTGGCGTGGCACAGATTTTCCCTTGAACTGAGGTGTTGAGGTGGGGGAGGGACTACTACTATCACTACTAATGAGGAATTAATGATATTTAATAGACAACAGTGCACATACACATGTATTCCAGGACACACCTATGTATTCCTAGAGTGAATGCTGACAGTTATCTTTGTATTGTAGCCCCATCTCTGCTGCTGCGCTCGGTTTTGCTGCCCTGCTGTCTGATGGTACCTCCCAGAACCCAGAGCCCCTTACTACCTGTCTTGAGCTGTAGCAGCTGGAGGCTGTCTCCTGTCTGTGCAGCACCTCCACTGACAAAGCACCGTGCACCTTCCTGCAACACAGAATGGGCCATGGCTAGAGAAAGCTTCAGGGATTACTTGGCCCACTGAGGCCAAGGTGATTTTCAGTGTATAGTATAGGGAAAAGGGATTATTCTTCCCTTAACGCACCCAGTTTTAAGGCGAGCAGAAGTGCTGCAGCTTTACACAGTAGGTACAACACAGAATGTTGTGACTGGCTTCAGGAGAAGGGGAATCTTTTCTGAGGCTGTTGTCTTCTGTAGCATCTTCCCCTTTCCCATCTGAGATGGGCTGGCAACAGGTACTGACTTCCAGGGTGGGAGCAGACCCCCCAGTGACCATTTTGTGCCACCCAGGTTGCCGTGCTACTCCGCTCAAGGGCTGAGATATGAAAGCCTGTCTTTACTGACAGCGAACTCGAGATGAGGGTCTGTAGCCTTGGCGTGGGAGAGAGGCCGTTTATTCTTGATGTGAAACTGAAATGCTCTGAGTTCAGTTCCCACCAAAGAAACTGACCCTGTGATGATTTAGATTTACTTTTTTTTAACTGTTGGAAATCCTATTGTGACTGCTGCACTGCTCGATGGTTCTGCAGTACCTATTTTGTATTTATAAATAAATTATGTATCTGTTTGGAGGTGTTTTGAGGAGTAACCTGAAAAACTGGATTCTTAGTCATTTGCTTCTGAATGAAGGGACCGCTGTTGTGAACAGTGCTTCTGTGCAAAACTAACCCAACTTGAAATAAAGGTTTGCATTTGGTTCCACTGTTATGCAGTCCACGCTTGTCTCTCTCTCAGTCCTGAGCTTGCAGCCCCTGAATTTCATACAGGTAGGAAATTAGGTGTTGGGCTCCATGAGGCACAGGATTCTACCTTTGTGGGGGCTGTAGAGGTGAATTGGCCTGTCCCTGCAGCCAGCCCTGGGAGCAGGTGAGTGGTGTGAGTGTTGGCTGTCCCATGAAGCACAGTGTCACGTGCTGGACTTTTTAGTTGCAGCCAGGGGAGATGCTTTGGGCCAGCTGCTATATAAAAATCCTCTTGGGGCTGGCCAGGCTAAAAAGAGGAACACTGAAATCCCTTTGGGATACAAATGACTGTAGACGGGGCTTTAGTTTTTGTATCCCCAGGTGGTTCCTGGGCAAGTTAACTGCTGCATGCCTGCTGGACCTATGCCACGGGTTCGTAAGGGACACCACCATAGGGGTAGGCACTAAGGCATGAATAGGGCTAAAAACGGATTACCTACATTCTGATCTTCAGTTTCACGGATGAGATTGTGGAATCAAGTGGCTTTTAATGTGGAGTAAATGGTTTCATTTTCCTACATAAAAAAGGGGCTTCCCATGGGAAACCAAACCTCCACATCCTGAAAAGGAGATAATATGAACTCCTTTCTGCTTTTTGCTCCTGGCTTGCGCTCCACCCCAATTTGTAAGCCCGCGCTATCTGCAAGGACTTCCCAGAGTGGTGCTGTGTAGCAGCTGCTTGCACATGGGCAGGGAGAGCAGGAGGGTTCAGGCACAAGGTTATGCCTGCCATTAGGGAGTCTCGTTGGGTGTGGGACAGAGATAAAGAGCCAACGGGCTGATGGCTGGGGGAATAGCAGGCAGGGAAGAGGTGGAACCCATTCTGAGCTTTCCTGTCCCTCTGCCTGCTGCCATTTGTTACCTGTGATTGCAAGCCAACAGGGATCTCCTGACTCATGAGGTGTCTTTGTGAGAGACCGAGAATGCTCCTCCAGCACATCGAGCTGAGCAAAGCCACCTTGAACGGTGGCAGTGAGGGAGGCAGCGAGCCATAAGGCGGTTTCTCTGGCAGGTGGCTGGCTCTGCAGGTGTCGAGGCAGGCAGAGCTGGGTACCAGCCCGGCCATCAATAATGCAGGGAAGGGCTCACATGCCCTTGCTGGCTGTCGCAGGATTCCTCTCTCCCCAAGAGTCCGGTTACTTCCAGAGATCAAGTTCCAGCCTCTTGGCTGGTGAATTATTAAACTCCAGCAGAGCTCCATTCCCTTTGTACCGCGGCTGTGTCTTCCTGCTCTTCTTCCTTGCCAGCAACGGCCTCTTTCCATCCAGCCGGCTGTGCAGAAGTGGAGTCCTCCAGGCCAGGATAGTACCTTGTGCTGTTCTTTATTCCTTCTTCCTCTCGAAGAGGGGAAAAGGCTCCAGAGATGGACCTGTCCTACAGATCCACCATCTCCATCTATAAGGTGAGTGCTGGCACCAAAGACTGCTCCTGTCTGCCTAGGGGAGATGCATGGGTGGGAGGAAAAGAGCCGTTTTCTCCCTTGGGTGGACAGCCAAGGGCTCTATCCCTTCCCCAGGGTAGCAGCAGCTCCTGTGGGCTCTGCGCTGTGCTTGAGAGCAAAAGGCTAGCAGAAGGGGAAGGTGGTGTGGGTCTTAAGGCAGATCTGGGAAGGAACTGGGTAAGCAGTGTGGTTCGGACATGGAGCGTTCATGGTATTCTTCAGGATAACACACCTTGGTTGCTGGCAGGAAGGAAATGTTCAGTCAGCTGTTTTCCTCCTTGCTGGAAAGAGCAGTCTGATCTCACAATTCCTTCCCTGTGCCCCTCAGTGCTGTACCAAGGTGGTGAGGACGGGGAGAAAGAAAAGAAAGAATCTCTGCTATAGGCAATAAACACCTTTGATGAATACAGCAGGGAAGAGCATAGAGGGTGGTCTGGTGCAGTCCATCCCTTCTCTTAATTAAGCTGCTGAGTCTGGCAGTGCACCACATCCTGGCCAGGAAAAAGTCATGTACACGCCTGGATAATAAATATTGAGGTGATGGAGTGAGGGGAAAAGGCTGCTCAGATCCCCTTGAATTATCCTCCCATCTGCAGTGGCTGTGGGGCCCTGGGAGAAAGCCACCATCAGGTGACCACTTGGCTGTGCAGCAGGCTGCCTCGCCCTCTGGTATTGCTCCTCTCCTGGCTGGCTGGAGAGGACTGGGGGCACCCGAAGGTCCCTCTGGTGCAGGAGCTGACTTTGAGCAGGGCTGCACATCACCGCGGCTATCCAGGTTGTGGCTGTGGGAGCTGTGTCCCTGCTGCATGCAGCTGAGCCACAGCAGGACATTGACCTGCTGAGGTCTCTGAAGCGTGGCTCATACTGGTGTTCACGTGCTTCTGCCTGGCACAGAGTATCCTGGAGCAGTTCAACCCCGCGCTGGAGAACCTGGTGTACCTGGGAAACAACTACCTGCGTGCCTTCCACGGTGAGTGGGGTCCCGCAGAGCCAGATCAAGCTGCTCCACATCCATCCCGGCTGTCCACTGTGCCATCACCCAGGACAAAGTTGCTGGTCCCCCTACTCTTAAATGTCCTGTGCTGCCCTTAAGTACTCTTCTGCTCCAGGACCCACTGCTATTATTAGGCATAGATTGGGAGAAATGGGATGCCCTTGCCTATAAGTGAGGTACCAGAGGGTGGCTGTCCTGTGCACTGCTTGCTGGGGCTGGTGATGGTGATAAGGCAGGCCAGATCCTTACCACTCCTCTCCTCTCCTCACAGCATTATCCAAAGCAGCTGAAGTGTATTTTAAGGCTATTGAAAAGATTGGGGAGCAAGCGCTGCAGAGCTCCACCTCACACATGCTGGGTAAGGCTCTCCTGTTTATGATTCTCTGTCCTGTGATGAGCCACAGTTACATGCTTTTGGCCTTCCCCCTTACCTGGTCCCTTTCTAGGTACTGGGGAAAGGAAGACAGCTCCTCTAAATGGTGTCTCCCAGTGCCAGGCCCTGTCTAGGTGGTTAGAGTCACATTTATTGTATGCCCTTGAACAGCCCAAGGCTCCAGCCCTCTCTCCTGTATCCCTCTGAGATCAATGACTGAGCTGCTGGGATGTACCTCCAGCAATGGACCTCTCACGGAAACCAGTCCTTGCTGCCCTAAGAGCTGGAGGAACCAGTTTTCTCCTTGCAGGTGTGAGGGAAAAGCTGGAGAACGTGGATTGACAATAGCTGGTGGGATGTTGTCCTCCTGAGCCTGCAGCAAGAGAAATGGCAGCTTGGAGCTGAAGGGCAAATAATTCCATAGCCTAATGATGGCTGCTGAAAATATGCTCAGGAAATTGCTCTATTGCTAATCATTTTAATAATAAGCTTCTATAGCGACTCCTACAGTCATCTGCATCATCCAGCTAGCTCCTGTGCTTCCTGTCATTAGTCTCTTCCTTTCCCAGTTTCATGATACCAACACCAGTGAATCAGGACCATGCAGAGCATCACAGAATCATAGAATAGCTAGGATTGGAGAGGACCTTAAGCTCATCTAGTTCCAAACAGCAGCAACTGCTGTAGCTGCCTTCCTGTAGGACACCCAGAACCATGCACCGCAGCTGGGGTGCCACTGGGGTTAGAAATGGGATCCATAGGTGCTGTGACAGAGCAGAAACCCAGCACCCTGCCAGCACATGGAGCTGTAACAGAGCACTGGTCTGGCAGCCTCATGGGCTCAGGCAATCCCGCTCTGATGGTGCCTAGGGAGTGGTAGTGGAGCTGAGCCCTGGGAAGAAAGGCTGCCGGCCTCGTGCAGGGAGCAGAGAATGGTGCTTTGTGATAGCTGTTGGACTTTCACACCCGTGTATCATCAGCCTGAGTGGCACACTGCCAGTCTGCCTCCTTGGGCACACAAGGAAATGGCTGCTGGACTTCCCTACCTTCTCCTGGCTCTTTGCCTGCAGGTGAAATTCTGATGCAGATGTCCAACACGCAGAGAGTCCTGAGCTCTGATTTGGAAGTGGTGGTGAGTGGTTTTCCCGAGGGCTGGTGCAGGTGGGGAATCAAGGGACTTCCTTACCCAACAGCGTTTGCCCAGTTCACCCCATCTCTTGCTGTCTCACATGCCTGCTGGCAGGCGCCTGCCCCCCGTTCTCCCTGGTGCACGTGACGGATGCGTGTTACAGAGCAGCATGCAGAGAGCCCAGCTGTTGTTCAATGTTTGGTGCTGTTGGTGGACTATCACCGCCGCTCCATAAGCATGGAGGTGGATGTGTGTTGGATTGAGCAGTTCCTGGCTCTGAAGATGTGGCATTCCCATCCTCTCTTTCCCTGGGTCACAGTGATGGGAAGGAGTGGAGGGGATGCTAGCCCTTCCAGACACTGCTGTTTGTGCCCGTGCCAAAGCTCGAGGGTGACCTATGGTTAGGAAGGCGCTGGGTGCTGTCCCCAAGGCTGCTTCAGAGTAGCCTTGATGTGCCCATTTCTGGCTTCTATATGGGGTCCAGGGGGCAAGGGAGTCATCAGCTCTGCAGGTTTTACGAGCCACTCTTCACCACAGCACTTGTAACTCCCCATATGGTGAAGGGATGAGATTGATGGCTCCTTCACCTCTTCCAGGCTCAGACCTTTCATGTGGACCTGCTGCAGCACATGGAGAAGAACACCAAAATGGATGTACAGTTCATCAGTGTGAGTGATTACCTCCCTTCTCAATTCTCATTTCCCTCTCCAAGGGCTCTCCAAGGGCTTTTGCTTTAGTACTTGAGGTGTTTCCTTGACTTTCCTCAGCAGGAGTTAGGGGGCTTGTCATAGACCAAACCTCTCCCTAGTTTGGTTGGTAATGGAGTGATGAAGGTTTTTTGTGGAGTGGGACTTGCCAAATGCTTCAATGGGGCTGAGAGACTCAGCATCCCAAAAGCAGAGTTTCCAGCTTCCCCAAACCACAGCCTCTGCATGGTCCGAGTCCTGTGCCATTGTGGCCCAGCTGGACATGCTGGTGGGCCATGTCACAGGGAGAGACAGAGGCTGTGGCTTTGCTCCCAGTGCTGGGGGAGCTGGGTGCCAGTTCTTGCTCCTGAGTTCTTGAGGTTCATCAGCATTCTGGGACTGTTCAAAGCAAAGAGAAAGGTAAAGAAAGGTGTTTTTTATGAGAGGTTCAGGTAAAGCCTGATTTCAGAGGCGCTCAGGGGTTCAACCGCCCATCAGAGCATGACCCTTGTTGCATTACAGTGTGCCTGGGTCTCTGTTTTCTCACCCAGCCTGGTTTCTCCCTGACAGGAGAGCCAGAAGCAGTATGAACTGGAGTACCAACGCAGAGCCACTAACCTGGATAAGTGCATGGCAGAGCTGTGGAGAATGGAGAGGGCCCGTGATAAGAATGTCCGTGAGATGAAGGTGAGCAGTGATTACAGGGAGGGGAAGGGGAAAAAGAACTGGGGGATTTTTCCGGAGTCAGGGATGATTTCTCAGCAGCTTTGTCCTTCCTGAAAAGCCAAGGGGTTTGCCCCAGCATCCAAAAGGCCACTGGCGTACCTGGAAAGGAGTAAACTCCTTTTCCACAGGATGCTGCTGACCTGCAGTGCTCATTCTTGCCAAGCCCTTTCCTCATTTAGCAAGCATTAATGTGGGAGGGCTCCATCCCTGGCACTCTGCTCTAGCTTCTCTGTGCTGCTCCAGCACTGCAGCCGGACTGGGAAACTGGTAAACGCGATCACTCATTTCAGGCCTTCCCCTGCCACGTATGATCCCGCTCTGCTGCATTTATGCTGATCACTTCTTCCCTCTTTCCCCTGTGGCCCAGGAGAATGTGATGCGGCTGCGCTCGGAGATGCAGGCGTTTGTCTCTGAGAGCCAGAGGGAGGCTGAGCTGGAGGAGAAACGCCGCTACCGCTTCCTGGCTGAGAAGCACCAGATGCTCTACAACACCCTCCTCCAGTTCTACAGCAGGGTATGGCCTGGCAAGCTGGTGAGCAGAGCTGGAGGGGAGCAGGCAGCGGGAGGGAGCCAGTGCTGAGCTGCCCCTGCAGTGAAAGCAATGTCTGTGCATGCACTGGGCAGGAAACCCGATTTCACTTCTTGCTGTGGAGTCCAGGCTGACTGTGCTAGGCAGAGAGAGCATGGCTGGGGCTGAGGATAGTGCTGACACAGGGTTAGCTGGGTGTGTGAGTGATGGGAGAGGGAATGGGGATGTAGGTGTTTATAGCAGGGCCTTTGGGACCGTGGAAGGTGCTCCCGAGGGGCTCCCACAAACCTAACTGTGGGAGGAGCTGGTCCCTAATCTAACGCATGTGGCAGCCTTGGCTCCCTCTGCAGCTCTTCTGCCCTGTCCACCACCTCCTCTTCTTCCCCTCCCCAGGCTCGGGCCATGATCCAGACCAAGGCACCGCAGTGGAAGGAGCAGCTGGAGGCCACCCGCAACCCCTCAAACAGCCACTCGCAGGGTCTTCTCGGAGCCTGTCATGGCCAAGGGTATCCATCGGGCCGGCTCACCCCCACCCACCTAGAGATGGTGAGGAGCCCATGGACAGCCTCCACCTTGTTTGGTGAAACCCTGGAACAGGGGAGAGGTGCCCCATCCCTGGAATCATTCAAGGCCAGGCTGGACAAGGCTCTGAGCAACCTGGTCTAGTTGAAGATGTTCCTGCTCAGTGCAGGGGGTTGGACTGGACGAACTTTGAAGGTCCTTTCCAACCCAGACTATCCGATTCTATGATTCTATGATTGATTCTGTGGTGGTGAAGCTGTTACTGCCCCTTTTAGATTGCAGGGCAAGGGCAGTCCTTGGCCAGCCATGATACTTGCTGGCTTGTCCAGCTTCCATGGCCGTTCCTGACCAAGATGAAGGGAAAAGTGTGCATGGGCAGCAACGAGGGAACTTGCTGGGTTTGGCTTCCTGAGAGGGACTGTGTGTCTTTCAGAGCATCTCCCACTGAACTGTGGATGTGTATTCAACCTCCTTTCCTTCCAGCAGCCCCAGCGACCCCTTGGGGACTTTACTTCCTCCATGACTGGGAGTAGATCCAGCATCTTCTCTCCAGAGCCTCCAGAAATGAGACTGTCTCCTCAGCCAGAGCCCCCCAGGCAGCCACTGCGGAGGACACCATCAGCCAGTATGACCCATGTCCAGCAGGGGCTGGACCTCTCAGGGAACAGGGTTGGGGATGGGGAGGGTCTACCACTCTATCAGACTAATGGTCTTCAGCCACGTTCCTTCACATGGTGGGAAGACCATGCTTATGGGAGCTTGGAGGGCAAGGCTGAATGAAGCAGAGGGTGAGCTCGACCAGAGGGTGAGCAGGGCCCATTCAGGACAAGGCCAGGACTCCTGGCTGTGTGAGGTGGGGAACTCACAGATGTGCAATTTCCAGTTTCTCTAGAGCCATGAGGGCTGGTTCTTACTGGAGTTCCCATTTGAGTCAAACACCTTCCCTCACGCTGTACATGAAATACTAGCCTGCCCCACAGCCCAGCCACTTACCTCATGTCTCACCTGCTTATTCTTCCTAAGGAATTCCAGCTTAAAATGTTTTAAGAAACCCCAGAAAAGGACAGTGGGAGAGAAGACTTACCCAAACAGTTGTTCTAGCAGGGTCAGGGAGAGGGCCATCAGCCAGAGCATCAGCTAGGGCATGCGGTGCGTGTGTTTTAGACATTTGGCCAAAGGAAACATAGTGCAAAGCTTGATTTTCAGCTTGAGTTGATTTTCCTCCTGCAAGATGAATGTTTTCCCGTGCTTTTCCCATGCTGTGCCCTGCTCTCTCCCTGTAGAGAAAGGCCATCTACTCCTCCTCTAGAGTAATTGTTCCACTGGGGAAGCACTGGTCCCTTTGAGGCAGTGTGGGTCCTGCAGGAGGATGCCGGGCTCCAGGCAGATCCCTCTGATGCCTCCCCGCAGGTTTGCTCCCAACCGGCCGCACTTCCCGGTCGGGTTCCTTTGGCGAGGCCAGAAGCAGCGGCAGTGAAGGCAGGAGGACGAGCGGCATGGCGAGAGTGCAGGCTATCGTGCCCCACACGACCGGCGTCAACCGGACCTTGCTACGGTTTGACCCCGGGGATGTCATCACGGTGCTGATGCCGGAGGCGCAGAACGGCTGGCTCTATGGCAAGCTGGAGGGCTCGTCCACGTATGTGGCTTTGGTGCTGTAAATCGGGCTGATGCAGGCTTGTTGGGTATGGAGCTGGGAGGTTTAAACCCGAAATCATCTCCCCCCTCCGCTCCTGGTGCGGTCTGTGTGTTGCCTCATACTCTGTATGTGTGGAACTTCACTATGTCCTCAGTCATGGGGACTCCCCAAGCCAAAGAGATGTAGTGGGACAGGGATGAGCTGCCTAAGGAAGCCCCAGGGGCTTTGGGTGGAAGAGCCAGGGGCACAGTGACCACCTCCTGGGGTGCAAGGCTGAGCAACTCCTGTCATGGGATCCAGCCCAGGGCTGTGAACTGCTGGAGTTACCTGAGAGGCCTGGAGTTTCTCAGCTCACACTGCAACTGCTGCACAGGCAGGGCATGGAAACTGCTGCACCCTCTGCTTACTGAATTACTCCCTGCGGCACTGCCAGCCAGCACCCGTGCGCAAGACTGTTCCGCTTGGGGTCCCTGTACTGCACTCTGCAGGGAAGCTCACACTCAGATAGGAGATGAACAAGAGGGGGTTCTGGGTTTGCCCTGAGAAGGGATTTCCACAGCTTCCTTGTGCTCTGGCCTTGACTGCCTCGTGACTGTGCTCAGAGAGAGTCTCTTCCTGCATTGCACCAGCATTGCTCTCAGGAGCACAGATTGTGCACAGCTTCTGAGATAAGCGGGTCCTTTGCCAAGCCTGGTGACTACCCTTCGCCCCATCTAGGGGTGAAGGATGTGCAGAAGCGCTGTCACACAGGGTAGCAGCAACAGTGGCCTGGGTGATGTGTGTAGATCAGCAGTGCTGGGCAGCTGGGTCTGAAGAACCGCAAACCGTGGCTGTCTGGACTTCATTTGTCTCTGTTCCTGTGCCCTAGGTGCGGCTGGTTCCCTGAAGCTTATGTCAAGCCTCTGGAGGATGCGAGAGAGATGGAGGAGCCAGTTACCAGGTAACTGGAGAGCAATTGGCTAGGCAGGAGCTGGAGTGGCTCCTGGTAGGTCACTAACTCCAGTGGGTACCTGTTTTGGATGTGCCTTTGGGAGAGCTGCAGAGCTCCCGTGCTGAAGCATCTGCTGAGCACCTCACTGCACCCTGAGACCTCACAGGCTTACCCTAGATGGTTCCTCTAACACGTGCAGTATCTTCTCAAAGGCACTTGTGGGTGTGCCGGTCCAAGCCATGTGCATTTTCTCCAGAGGCATCCCACAGATACATGTTGTGGCTAGAAGCCACCCTGCTCCCTATTCCTTGCTCTTCAGCTCTCACCCCACTGTCTTCTTCTCTTGCTCAGGTCCTTCCCACTGCGAAGCAGTCACAGTATGGACGATATCCTGGACCGTCCCAGCACTCCTTCCTCTAGCAATTACTGGCCTGCCACTTCCCAGCCCCATTTGCCGAACCCACCTCCCCTCTCAATGGGTGCCAGCAGTCACCAGAGTGGGGTGGTCACCCCCGTCAGTTCTGGCTCCAAGGTGAGTGCAGGAGGAGTGCCTGGTGTGGGGGTGTGTGTATGGAGTGGGCCACATCTGACTTCCATCCTCCAACACACACCTTCTCTGCATTTGCCTGTTGAGAAAGGAAAACACCTTCCAGATGTTGGTGTGTGACCTCCTCCCTTCCTGAGTTAAGGAGTTTTGCTAGCACTGGCCTTTCTCACCCAGTCTGTTCGCAGGCCACCATACCCTGGTGACCCCTGCTAGTCAGCCTTGTGCGTGCAGATGCTCAGTACCTCGCTTTGCCCCCACAAGGGACTGCGTTTGTGCCCTTGCCCTTCTCATTTCTCTCTCTTTTTGCTCAGCAGGGATCCTTCAGTTCCACCCTTTTCTCCATGACCCCCCAGCCTGATTTCTGGTGGCTCCAGGGCAGCACCTCTTTCTGCTAATAGTAGGACCATGGAGTGATCAGGCTGGGCTGGGTGACCAGCTAACAGAGATGCCATCCTTCTTCTCCCTTCAGAAAATGGAGAGGAATTTCATATGTCTCCTCATCTAAATTCAAGCAGGGCCTGGGTTAAAATCACAGCTGGGCTAAGGGAAAAGCTAGGGGCAAAGGCTGAGGGTACACTCATTTTGAAGGGCCTTAGAACAGGTTGTGTCAATCCATGCCTTACGCATGGCGTACTGAGGAGCTTCCAGCTGTGGGGAATTGACTCGTGAGGACACAGTTAAAGTTTTGGACAGTTAAAGGTGAGGACCTGGGAGTGGAAAGAACACTGCTGCCCATGGGACATTACTTGCTCAGTTTCATAGAAGGCTGGGAAACCTCATCTCTGGTTGCTGGTTCCAGGCCAGTGTGAGATTACAAGCAAAGGCATGGCCTGAAGGACTGGAAAATGCAATATTTAGTTATTCTTTATTCCCTTCATGTCCTGCTCTCTGGTTTCAGGGAGCCTCAGGCAGCACAGCACAGAGGGGAGCAGGATCTGCAGCCTATCACCCCCTGTGGGTCGTGGGTTTTCACCCATCCCCAGGGCTAGGGTGTAGGGATAGACCTGGGGTTGGGCAATGAAGTGTGTGGAACATTTGGAGCACCATGGCAGAGCAACTGAGCCTCATTAGAAGCTTGGAAAGGCTCAGCCATACTCTAAGCTTATACCCAAGACGTCCTTCAGTTGAGCCAGGAGTAAATGTGTGCGTGTTTGACTGCCCAACTGGAACACAGATAGCCACGTGTGACTTTCTGCAGAAGCTGGCATGCTTTAGCAGGTCAGTTGTCACTGATCCTTCACTATCTAATAGCCAAGAATAAGGGCCACAGGGCCTAGATCCATCTTTCTCCATCAGGTTGGTCCATGTTCAAGCAGTGCGTGGTGTAGGGTAGGCAGTTACAGCTCTTGAGTTCTCTGTGGATACAGGAAGCATGTGATGAACCCTTTGCCAGAGTGTGCGAGTAACACGAGGGGGGGCATCTCTGGCTGTGCTGGCAGGGTGAAATGTAGCTCAGACTGTCACTGTGTGCTGTGCTTTTCAGACACGACACTTCAGGGATCCGAGGCATCTTTCCCAAGGAAGGTGTCCTAAGGGAACAGTGTTGTGTGAAACCTTCCTCAGTGTGTGCGGTGTCTCCTGCCCCACTTGTGTCTCTCCATTCCCTACCCCAAATCACTCACTGCTTCCTTTCTCTTCACTGCAGAAATCAGGAATATTTGACCAGCCCCCTGAACTCTTCCCACGGTGAGTGAGGCGTGAAATTCCACCCTGGAATCATCAGACAGAGGAGGCTTTATTACAGTTTTATAATAACTTAATCTTTTGGATTATCAAATATGGGAGGAGCAGGGAAGTGCCTGGAGGAAAGCAACGCACAATCCACCTTCTAGGACAGGAGGGAGAGGTGGGACGTTCTGGCCTTTGCTGACTGGGAAGGCTCTCTCCTGTCTTTGGTAATATGAGGTAGGACTTGAGCACCCTCAGCATATGGATCCTCCATGCTCCTTCCCATCCATTCTGGAAGAGCCACAAGAGCAGCTGAGTGTGGAGCCATGTTATTCATGCAGCTCTGCCTGCTTTGAAAAGTCTGAGGCATAAGGAATGTGGCTTTTAGCTATGATGACTCAGGTCTGTGGAGATGAGACTTGCCACAAATCCCTGCTTTCCTTCCCTTTGTGGTTGGGTTGGTGTCTCCCTGTTTCTGGATGGTGCTGTAGCCTCTTTCTGCTCCCTGACCCCTTGCTTGGATGGTCAGGGGCCACAAGTGTGGAGTGCTACTGCAAGGGACAACCTTTGCTAGTGTTCCTCCTACATCCCATGGAAGAGGGAGCCCTGAGGCAAGCCCAAGGGGAACCCCATGGGAACCTGCAGCAGAGTGTGTGTTAAGGAGAAAGAAAACTCCTCAGCAGCAAGCTTTACTATGCTCCTCCTCAGCATGGAGGTGGCTGTACAACAGGACTAAGTACCCTTAGCTTGGTCAGCGGGACCCCTGCATGGTCTTTGCAGGTTTCCTGATGGTTGCCTGTTTTCTTTCCCCTTCCAGAGGTACCAACCCCTTTGCCACAGTGAAGCTGCGTCCCACAGTCACCAACGACCGCTCAGCACCCATCATCCGATGAAGCAGGGCTGCAGACCGCTGACAATGTCAGCAGGGAAGGAGGAGGCATACAAGAAATGGGCTGTGCCCCCAGCTAGGCAGCAACCTAGTGCTACCACTCATGGAGTAACCTCTCTTTTCCCCTCCCTTACCTCTGGGTCATCAAGACTTCACTGGGCTGCCTGGCATGCTTTAGCCAGCAGCAGATCCCTTCTGTCCCCCCTCTCTGTGTGATGTTACTGTACTTGAATGGGAGAAGTGTTGTGTTACTGGTGCTGGTGGCCTGGGAGAGGGGATGCTGCTGTTCTGTGAGGTGGAGGGATGGGTGGGTAAGGTCATCCGCAGCATGGGGCAGTGCCAGCAGGATGACAAAGGTGAAGCTTTGCTGGCCCTGCTGTGGGCAGAGAAGGACTCTCACCGAACAGTCCCTTTGCTACCAGAAGAATGAACCCCAAAGGGAGGAGGTCACAGGAGCTCTCCCAGCGCTGTGAACCAGCTGACAGGGTCTGCACTGTGCAGCGCTCTGCTCTCGACCCCTTTGTAGCAGCATCTGCCCCTTCTTACCCCCAGAGCAGCCACTTCCCTCACTGCACAGCCCTGGGGCAGGCAGGGGCAGGGACAGTGCTGCTGCCCTGCTCCTCTGCCTGTTGTCCTGGGGAAAATATTCGGGTTTTTTAAATAAAACAGAGAACGATGCTTCTGTGGCCATCCCAGGGGTCGGGATCTGTGGGGACCTCACCAGCCCGGAGTGCCCTGTATGCTCTGAGGCCTCACGGGAGAGTCGATGTGGGAGAGGGAAGGAGCGCAAGCAATGGCCAGGACTTTAGCCGATTAGCCTTATTAATAGAAATTAAACCCTGGCTGTGAGTCCTGCAAAGCCCCCACAGCCCCCCCACTGCCAGGAGCCTGAGGGCCTATGGGGGTTTACAGCCTTGGTCTTTGCCTCCCTGAAACCCCACCTGGGATGAGCTCCAGCTCTCTCCCTGGAAAAAAAATGGGTTCCCACTTGTGTGGCCAGAGGCTTGTCCCCAGTGCCTGCCAGACCTCCTTATAGGTGGCAGCCACTGAGAGGATTTGGGGTTTTATAAGGATGGATATGTTGGTGGGCTGGATCTGGCACTTCAAGCCGTGGCTGGCAGAGTTTCCTCAGCTGGTCCATCCTTGTCTTCCTTCTCTGCTGTACACGTGCAAAACCACACCAGTGCTTCTCCATCCTTCTGGCTGGCAGCTGAGAAAGAGGTGGAGGGCTTTGAAGCAGCCCCTTCACCTATTTTACCCCTTAATGAAGTGTGGGCTACTGCCCCCTCCCTGGCACGCTCTGTCCTGGCTGGGTCCATCACCAGCATCCCCTATCCTCACCCTGCTTCCTCCTGCCCCAGCCCCTCTGATTCTGCCCCCGCCAGCCTGCCCCGCTGTGCTGGGAAGGGGAGGAGCCCCTGGGCAGTGGGATTACGGGGGAATTCGGGCCGCGGCAGGCAGCCACCTCCTCCCCATTGGCTGGGAAAGCCTCTTAAAAGTGAAGGAGTGCTTTCTGCCCGCTCAGCACCCGCCGGTCTCTACCGACCTGAAACCATAAGCGGCTGCTGACCCACATCGATGCTGAGAGTGCCGTGAGGCATTACCTGCACACACAGCAGGCAAGGGGGTCCCACACACTGGGCATCCCCCTGGATCGGCCGCAGGCAGCATCGGAGCCAGAGGAGAGCAGGCTGAGAGGGGGGTAGCTCTCCAGTGAGAACATAGTTGCCCCAAAAGGAGTGAGGCACAAGAGACCTCTGGAAAGGCTCTGGATTCCTGCAGGCATCACCCTGTGCCCGGCTGACGGCGTGCCCACCATGGAGCAAAGAGCCATCAGGGCCATCTAACCGTGTGCCCTAGCGCAGCGCTGGGAAGGGCCAGCCAGAGGCAGAAGGGGAAGTGCTGCTGACCGGACCGCTCAACCCTCGGAGGCTCAGCCCCTGCTCGGGAGGTTGTTGCTTCATTGCACAGGTCAGTGGTGTGGAGGGATGCTTGAATCCTGGCGCTGGGTGCCAACGGGACAGCTCATTTAATTTAAGCCTGCACTCATTTAATTCTCTAACAAAAGCTTTGTGTTGTCTGTGGGCTGGGGAGGCTGGTGGCATGAATCATTGCCCTTGCATTCAATAAACAGACCCTTCACCCCACCTGTACTGTGTGAAGGCCTAGGAGCCATCCTAGCATTTATGCGGACCCTTCTGACTGCTGCCTGCCCGGCAGAGTGGGGCTTTGCTGGGCATCATCCAGCAGCAGCTACTTTATGTTCTGTGTGTGTCCAGGGACTGGCAGCCGTGGCTGAACTTGCTGTGGTCTTTGCCCTCCCACCCTGGGTTTGTGACTTCTGCTGTCAGCACAAGTCTCCTCCTGGCACCCATCCACAGGTAGCTCGGCAGCTCTGGTCCACCTGCCTGCGATGCACAGGGAAGGACATGTGCCCATGCTGATGAGCTTTTAGGTGCATGTGAACTTACTCGTGGTATTTTTACCTGTGACTAAAGCTCCTTAACTGAGAAGAGAATAGCAAGCTGTAGAGTGTGCAAAAGCAGGTGCAGGGTAAACAGTGCTGGCAGCCCTGGGGTAATGGTTGGACCTGATGATCTTAAAGGTCTTTTCCAACCTGGTTCATTCTGTGATTCTATGTGCAGCCGTGAACAGAAGCGCTAACGCACGTTCTGCAGTGTTAGGAACAAAGCAGCTCTGAACTGCCCAGCTCAGAGCTGGGATGTGTTACAGTATATTGGCCTTGGAGGCATCTCCAGAGGTGATCTCCTCTGGTGGACCTCATCTTTTTCAGCCAGTATTTATCTGCAGGCAAGTAAAAGCTCTTTCATGCCTTTGATGTACAGTTCTGTAGTACTGAACAAGTGGCTGTTGAAGAGGTGCTCACCCAGCTCCAAACTCTAGGAGTACTGATGGATGTTTGTCTAATGGGTTCTTCAAAAACAGATGTTGTGGACTTATTGGCAGGTGATGCTGGAGAAATCTCTGAAGAGCATGCCACTGGTGGACAAGTATTTTTTTGCTAGGAAGCTGGGGAAAAAAAACTATAACCAAAAGCCAGATGAATTGCAATGGTTTGATTCATTTCATTTGTGGTGCAGGACAAGAGCAAGAAGAGTGAGGGTAGGAGAGGGGCTTGGATGAAAAGGGTCAGGGTATGTTTGGTGGCAGTCACTCCTATTTGAAGTAGCTATGTGCAGGAGATGGTGCAGTGGTGGAGCACCAGCACTGATGGAGAAATCACTGCACTTTTGCAGCAGGCCACCTTTTGTACAGCCATACCTGACTGTGAGTCAGGTGGAGCTAGGAGAGGAGGGTAATGGCAGAGGCTGAGTAAGACAGTTTAGCCTGGCTGTCCACACGCCAGTGATCCAGACAACACCACAAAGGGTGTGAGGGGGGAGGTATGGGTGTCTGGAGAGCATACAATTCATCTGTTCTTCCTTGCCATCATTCTTTGCCTTGAAAATGTCTTTATAGCACCTGTTCCCAGTTCATGCTCCTGTCCCTTGCCACAGTCCCTGAGAACTGAGACTTAGGGGGAGAGACTGGAGTATCCTGCACTGGCCCCTGTGGTTCAGCCTGAGAGCTGTTAGGATATGGCTGCCCCAGTCTGTGCTCAGAGTCAGATCCTACTCCCTCTTCCTCATTGTCCCGGATTCATGGGTTCACCTAGTCATCTTTTTTTCCTTGTTCCCCTAAACAGCATCTTCAGACCCTCTCAGCAATTCCCAGCCCCATTATCAATTTCAGCTCTGCACCCTGAATCTCCTGCAGGCTGAGAAAGCCAGTTGCTCTCCTTTTCTGTGAGAGACTGGTGTCATGGGGTAGTACCACCTCTTGCCAAGCAGGGGCCCTTTACCTGGGCTCTCCTGCAGCTTCTGCCATCCATGAGTTTGCCTAAAGGATTTGTATTTTTCTAACGCACCGAGCAACAGCAGCTATGGGAATCAGGTCAAGTGATGCCCATTGCTGGGAGAGCATGAAGAAGAGAGGGAAGTCCTCAGGAAACGTACACGGACCCAAAATTTCCAGGACTAGCCCTGTCCGTCTCGTCCATAGGAGTGTCCTTGCTCCCTCAGCAGTCAAAGGATGTGACTGCTGGCATTTCCCATGACCATCAGTGTCAAGGGATGTGGACATTGTCACCATCTCACAGTCCTTCAGCTAAGGGATCTGGGGAGGAGACAGAACCCACTTTGGGATTGTGCTGCCAGCAGGAGGGTAATAGGGCAAAACAGCTGACAAAGCCCAGCTCAAGCATGGAGAAAGCCTCTCTGCTTTCTAATGCTTGTCTGATGCTACTTGGGAGCATCTATAATCAAAGTCCAGTGATAGTTTTACATAGAGGTGTGAAAATAAGCCTGGCTGACCAAGAAACCGGGGCCAATGGTGCTGGAAGGGATATGTCAGAGACCTGGTGCCTAGGGGAGATATGAGAAAAACATACCCATAGCAGCCAACAGAAACAAAATTCCTGGGCAGCTTAAGAGCCTCAAGAGCTACTCACAAGACACCCCCTCTAATTCCCTCCTTCTCCCCCCTTTAGGCTTTGTTTGGGCCCTTATGTGTAGGTACAGAGCCCTAATCTCTCTGGCATGCAAATAACCACCGGTTTGCAGTGCTTTTCCCCTTCACCCATTTCCCAAATCTGGCCCCTCACAGCAGGGAAGGGAGGGCGAGAGAAGGCAGGGCCTCCCAGAGGAAAGCACAAGAGGGCTTAATGGATCTCCTATGCCTCACTGATGGGGACTTCTGTAGCAGGGAAAGTCCTGGAGGGCTCCCAGGACTGAGATGGGAGAGGCTTGAGGGAAGATCTTGGGAGCCAAAAGGGATCCACGTTGCTGGCTTTCACCATGCACCAGCCTGCAGGCAAGGCTGGATATGGCGCAAGTGGGGTGCTGCAGGTGCAGCAGATGCAGCTCTCCCGTCTCAGCTGGGAGCTGTGACCCTGCTTGGCTGTGTCTGACCAGGAGTTAGTTACAGAGCTGTAGGATGCCCAAGCTCAAGGGGAGAGCTTCCCACCTCTGCTCAGTTGTGGCTTGACCTCAGAGCCTGAAGCAATCCTGCCCTGCCTGGCAGGATAAAGGTACAGAGAGATAATGTGGTACCCCAGGGAGGCTCTCGGAGCTTGGGGATGGCCGACATGGAGAGAAACCTTGTAGCAGATGTTTGCCTGTCCTGCTTTTCTCTTCTTGCAGTGCCTGGAGATTTCCCTCTTTCTTTTTTCCCCTCCTTCTGTTGCCTTGCTTCCTCCCACAATGTCTTTCCTCTCCTAGGCTAGACAATGGGGAGACGTGACCCAGAGGAAGGGCATCTCCCAGCTCCTGTGAAGCCCCCAGATGGTGGCTGGGGCTGGATCGTGCTCCTTGGCTGCTTTGTGATCACCGGCTTCTCCTATGCCTTCCCAAAAGCCGTCAGTGTCTACTTCAAGGAGCTCATGAAAGATTTCCATGTGGGCTACAGTGACACAGCCTGGATCTCCTCCATCATGCTGGCCATGCTCTATGGGACAGGTGATGCTTGGACACGCTCCCTCCTTCCCAGCTTGTGCCTTCCCTGCCCTGCTACAGGCCAAGACCCATGTCCCCATAAGCCTTCCTCATGCTCACTGACCTGGTGACATGCAGAATGCAACTGTCTCACCACTTCTCTTCTAGAAGTGTGCTGTATGGCTGTCATGTCCCCTGTTTCCTCTGCTCCAGGAGACCTGAGATGTGCCCCACCTGTCTCTCACACAGTTAACATGGGGTTTGCTCCCACTGCTCAAGTGCTGCCCCTATCACATCAAGCCCCTCTTGTTCCCAGGCACTGGGGGGCTGAAGGCAAGGCAAAGCAGTCTCCACATCCCTTGGCTGGGCCCAATGGATGTGCATCTAAGCAGCCAAGCAGTGATCTCTGTCATTAATGTTTCATCTTCCTGAGTGCCCTGTTTGGGCTGGCTGCCCCTTCCCACTTGTCCCATCTCCTCCTGGTCTCCTACTCTGTCCCCTCTGCTTCCTCCCAGGACCGGTATGCAGCATCATGGTGAACCAGTTTGGCTGCCGGCCCGTGATGCTCATTGGCGGGCTGCTGGCTTCCTCTGGGATGATCTTGGCATCTTTCACCACCAATATCATTGAGCTTTATCTGACAGCCGGCGTGCTGACAGGTGAGAGCCCCAGGAGTTGGGAAGGGGACACAGACTTACCTGCAGAAGAGCCAAGAACACGCTGTATCTCCCTTTAGCATTACATCTAACATTAGGTCTTCCCTCACCTATTTGCATCTGCTCATAGGAGGCATCTAGTCCTGAACACTGCATCTGTGGGAGATGCATCTGCTGGATCTAAAACGATGCTCAGTTACCATGGCAACTTGGGTGGTATATAGTGGTAGAGGAGAGAGGCAAAGTTCCTGTTGAAGGCACATGTCCTGTTAAACACAGCCATGTTTACCTCTTTCAGATACACCTCAGGTAGACAGCTTAGCCCATCTTCTCCAGGGGCAGCCCACCAACATGGGAGCAGAAGGAGCAGAGGCTTTTGAGGGACACATGAATCCCATCATGGGACTTCGGGACTAAGGCAGCCTGAAGGGAGCTTCAGCCTGTTGCAAACCACGTCTCATGTTCTTGTACTTCCTGTTCCCTCCTGGCTCTCACCCTCCTGCAGGTTTGGGTATGGCGCTGAACTTCCAGCCCTCACTGATCATGCTGGGCACATACTTTGACAAGCGTCGGCCTCTTGCCAATGGACTGGCTGCTGCTGGGAGCCCTGTTTTCCTTTCCTCCCTCTCTCCACTGGGGCAAGTGCTGCTGGAGAAGTTTGGCTGGCGAGGAGGGTTCCTTATCATGGGTGGCCTCCTGCTTAACTGCTGCACTTGTGGGGCAGTCATGAGACCCTTGGATACAGGCATGAAGAGGAAGACGGAGAAAACGCGGGACAAATATGAAGCCAAGGAGATGCTGCCCATGGGAGGTAAAACAGAGGAGGGAATCAGCACCACTGACGGAACCATGAAAGCCAAGAAAGCCAAGAAGAAGCCCAGGAAAGGAAAGAAGCTTCTGGATTTTAGCATCTTTTCCAACCGAGGGTTTATCATTTACACTATTTCCAAGTTCATCCTGGTCCTGGGTCTCTTCGTGCCCCCCATCTTGCTGGTCAACTATGCCAAGGACACAGGTGTGCCAGACACAGAGGCTGCATTCTTGCTCTCTATCATTGGTTTCATAGACATCTTCGCCCGCCCAGCCTGCGGCATGGTGGCAGGGTTGAAGTGGGTCCGCCCTCACGTGGCATACCTGTTCAGCTTCTCTATGCTCTTCAATGGCTTGACAGACATCTGCAGTGCCAGGGCTAGCAATTACACGGGGCTGGTCATCTTCTGTGTGTTTTTCGGCATCTCCTACGGCATGGTGGGGGCACTGCAGTTCGAGGTGCTCATGGCCATCGTGGGCTCCCAGAAGTTCTCCAGCGCCATCGGGCTGGTCCTGCTTATTGAGGCTTTCGCTGTGCTCATCGGGCCACCCTCTGCAGGTAGGTGTCTTGCCGCAAAACACAGGTGATTCATTTGGCTGCCATTCCATGCTACTGCAGGTATTGGGCATGGTATTTGATGAAAGACCCTATTCCTCAACTTCGGATTTCCTCTGGAAACTGAGATCTGAAGTAAGAGCTCCCAGTCTCACTCCATGCACCACAACTGAATCTAAGCAGGGCACAAGACGGCAGGTGGTATTTCCCTCTGCTTTGCTCACAGACCTGAGTGGTGGCAGGTAGACAAAGCTATCCAGAGATATGCATGACTTCCAGTGTCCTTCAGTCCTGATCAGTGGTACTTCCCTCACTTTCATGCTGGGATCCAGGACTCTGCTTTCACTGTGAATGTTGCATAAAATCATGTTATAGGTAGGGTCAGGCACATGCTGCAGGCAAACCTTTGAGAGTCTTCATTACGACAAGGCAAAGATCTTTCAAGTTCTCCTTGGTGTCCATGGCCTTTTGATTGGTAACGATCTCAACTTGTGTTGGCCCCGGTCCAAAGGCACAGGCATTTTGGTGTCAATCAAGTCAAAACAGCTCATAGAGCCACCTGAGGCATTTACTGTTACTTCCTTTTAAGAGGATTAAGGCACAGTTTCTCGACCAATCTGGTCTAGGCTACAGTAAGGTCCATGCGCCACAGACAGTCCATAAATGAGCTGCTGAATGGAGAGAGACCCTTCACCCAAGAAACTGGTGTAGGTCACTGTTAAGTGTCACAGGAAGTCAGATCATGCCAAAGGCTTATTTACAAATGAAGTGAGGTCTCTGCATGTGTGATTTGTGAGGAAGGGTCAGGGACAGACCATGGACCACTTTGTTGCTTCCTGCACTCCCTTCCTCCAGCTGCAACTCATGAGCTAAAACCCATCGGTGAAGACCTCTAATGATCTGTTCCCTAGCACGTACCACCAGTTATGAACAAACCCACTCTCAGCAGCTCCACCCAGGCCTCAGGTAAAAACTGATGTTCAACAGAAGATCCTCTTTATGGTAACAGTAATTCATGTCTTGTCTTAAAAGCTGTGGGGCAGTCAGCAGTCCTAGGCTAGGGAGGGTCAAGGAATACCTGTCATGGAGGCAGATGCAGATAGATCATGGGGATGAGGCGGATTGAACAGCACCTTGCTCCTTGGAGCAAGACACACCAGGGGGTAGTGATGGGGGACATCCCTCAGCTCTCCTGACTCAGCTCAGCTGTGCCTTGACACTGTGCACACGCACAATGGGATGCAGATAGTGCAAAGCCACTGAAGAAGAGTGCTGGGGGTAGCCAAGTCGTGGTGCCCTCCTTCCCCCCAGCAGGACCTGCAGGACCCCCCGGTTCAGGGAGCCTGGGTGTGCTGGCAAACCCGACAGCTCAGGCCTGGGGAGCAGTACTCGGCTGGAAGAAGGGGGTTGAACAAAGTAGCTTTGTTTGTGTAATCCTCCTGAGCTGCTTCCCGCCCCATGGTGCTGAGGGAGTTTGGCGCAGGATAAGCTGCACACATGCATGCAGGCGTGCACGCAGGCTCCTTGCTCACCATCCAGCTTGGATGGGCAGGGCACATACATTCACCTGGAGATGAACTCGCCACATTTACTGACAGTGAGTGGAGAAGATATCTTGAGAACCTCTCTTTGGCAGAGAAATCATCAGGTGTGGGGCAACCAAAGGGACTTCTCTGCCAAAAAAGAGAAATGGGTCCTCAGGCAAATGCAGGTGCTGGTCTGTCCATGCAGGAACATGTAGGCTGAAGCTAACTCTCTCATTTCTTCTCCGACCATCAGGCCGCTTGGTTGACGCTCTCAAGAACTACGAGGTGATCTTCTACCTGGCAGGCTCAGAGGTGGTGCTCTCTGCTCTCTTCCTGGCCATGGCCACCTATTGCTGCCTGAACCGAGGCAAGAAGAAGGAAGGTTCCCCGGAGAAGAACCCTGCCGCGGGTGGTGGGAGCGACACTGAGGAAGCAGAGTCCGATGTGCAGGAGGCTGAGGAGCACAGCAGTGACAACCACCAGCCAGCCCACAGCACCGACAATGCCGTGGTGGCAGCCAGCGAGGAGGCCAACCATGTGGCAGAGGAGCAGGGCAGGGAGGGAGGCGGGTGTCCCGCTGGGGACGGGGAGGTGCTGGCACGAGACAGCTGCGATGCTGACCAGACGGTGGAGAGGGACAGCTTTTAGCCAGGGCAGAGGAACAGGGATGTATAAATCTGGCCTTGTTTGTATGCACCTCAGCTTGGGAGGGTAGGTGGGAGATGAGGAGGAGAAAGTGGAGACAAACACAGATGTAAGAGGGAGAGGTATAAGAATAGCTGGTCCTTATGTACGTATGTCCACATACATACCAGTGATATGTCTACTTGCATCCTGCACCCATGCTGGTGCAACTCAGGCTCAGAGCAGCCCAAACACCAAAAAGAAAACAAAAAATCATCTTCTTTCCTCACTTCCAAACCAGCCCCAAAGAAAGTCTGTTGAAGAGGCTGCCAAGGACTCTCCTTCTCCTTCTGCATTGTCATAATACAGAACACAAACAATTAGAGACTCTTTGCAAACAGATCTGGTACGCTTTGGTTTGGTGTCAGTGTTTCTTCCACCTCACTTCCACAGTCGGGATAGCACCAGGCCAGCTGGAACCAGGTTTAGGAGGTGGCGTAATTCATAGCTATCATATGAGCCACCTCCAGCTGCAGCCAGCATGGGCGCAGATGCTGCATTCCCTGCAGTGCCTCCCTTGGGCACTGCCAAAGCGGTGGGATACCTCCCTCTGGAGCATCTTTTGTGGGTGATAAAGTTGGGGCAGCGATACATGATTCTGCTGTTACAAGTGGGGAAGTGCTGGGTAGAGGCTGCTGCAGTGCAAGAAGAAGACATCTAAAAAGGTTAATGCCATTGGGTGAGCAGCCACGAGACGGAGCCTCACCGACAGGAAAAGCAGTGAGCTATCAGTATCTAGCCTGAAGTGAGTCCTGTTGATTTGTGAAGGAGCAATTTGGCCTCTATGGGAGGTGGGGGTTTCAGGGCAGGTAAATAACTGTGTCCCAGGCAATTCGCCACTCACCAGGAATGGCACCAGGCCCATGCGTGTTTTCCTTTCAGAGAAAAACCCCTTACGTAAAGGAATCAAAGGTGAGGCAGAAAGACAATCCAGAGCCCCCAGTGCCATTGATGAGGGTGTTGGAGCACGTGGTAAGGCAGGCATGACTCCCTCACCCCTGCTGCAGCGGTGGATTTCCAGATTGAGAGGACAACCTTCCCTGGCATGCTTAAACCACTCCTAATCTGCTTTAGGACTGGACCTTTTATAAACAACCCTGGGCAAAGCCCTTTCTTCCGGTTTCCTGAACTGTTTCACCTCAGAGGCCCTGGGGGAACCTGTGACTATAACAAGGGATCTAAAACTAAGCAGAGGGATACACGGAAGGCAGCTCATGGGACCATCAAAATAGGTGTTTCATTCCAGACCAGACTGACTACAAGTTAACAGGCAGTGGGTGAAGCCTGCAGCACCCGCAAAGCCATTTAAACAGGGAGGGGAGAAGGGACATGAAGGAAACGGTTTCATTCTAAACATTACTAAGCAAAGAGCAGTAAGTGACAAGCAAAATAAAGCTGCTGAAGAATGTCAGTTTAAAGAGACATAAGAACTGGACATTGGAACTAGATTATCTGAAAGGTCCCTTCCAACCCAAACCATTCAATGATTCTGTGCAATTGGAAGGGAGAAGGTAAACCCCATGGTTCTGTACCCTGCCTCACCACTATTGTCAGCTCCAACTGCGGGTCAGTTACAGTCATGACTTTGGGCTTCTTCCTATTCAAATCCACTTAGAAACATCCCAAATCAGACTAAGCCTCATGACAAAGCCCAGCTGCAAAGCTCTGGGAGAAAGAGAAGGAGCAGCAAGAGTGATGGAGCACTGCAGGCATTCATTCACTGCTCCACAAGCTTATTCCCCCCTCCCCACAAGGTAATATCACTGTCGCTGCTCTGCTCAACCGAGTCGCTCTGCAGTGCTTTCCCAGCAACCCTAACCCCCTGTCCCCCAGGCCTGGTTTCCCTTGGTCACCAGTACCCCCTCAAAGTGGCAGCTCACATCTTCCCAGTGGTCCAAGGCCCTTGTCAGCCAGGCAGGTCATGGGAACCAAGTCGCCTCTGTTTCCTTGTCACCAGTCAACGTTCCCCACTAAGCCTCCTGCTCTGAAATCTTTTCACAAACCACATAAAAGCCCTCAGGGTACCAGATGTTGCTACAGACAGTGCTGTAAGATCCCCAGACCTCTTCCTCCACCAGTCAGGTTGCAAAAAACATGGCCAAGCTGCCTTCCACTCCTCATTGTCAGCAATTTTCAAGCCAGTTTTCTCTGTCCCTCTGAACTGCTCCGTATTATGGCATAACGAACAGCTCTGAAAGAGGATCAGGGTCTTAAGCATCAGCTCAAGCTTGTGATGCAACAGCTAAGCTGTATGGAGAAGCTGGCCCTGGAGAGGTATGCAAGGATGCCACCCCGCAGAACTGAGGCAACTGGTGATTTTACAAGGCTGGTGCTCCCCTGGAAAGCCACGCTGGTCTTACATGGAGGACTGGCCTTGCTACAGCATTTATAAACTTTCTCCTCTACAAACACGTGCTGCAGTGACAATCATAGCTTGGCACAGAGATTATCCACCAGTATGAGCAAGAAACATGAATGGCCAGCACATGACACCCATCTTCTCATCACTATATTTTAAGATTAAAACCAATAGGGGATGTGCAAATAAACCTCTAAAGAAAACCCATAAAGGACAGGAAACGAAATGTCACATTTTTCTTTATTAGAGACAACAGTCAGTACAACAGAATCCATTGAAATCTTCCAGAACAGCTTAACCATGGATGGCTTTCTTCCAGGCACACACAGAGATGACAAAGCTCCAAAGACCAATCGAAGAGAAAAAACACAGAAAACCAAACATCTCGATCATAAATTAATGCCCTCGAATAACTTCTCTCACTACCACTAGAATGTAATGACAGAAGTGAAAACCCTTGCCTCTGAGAAGCACACTGCTCCTGGCAGTTGTGCTGTCTGCCAAAACAGAAAGTGCTAATCTGCCTCTGGGATCAGCCCACAGGGACAAAGGGAGAAGAGAAAAGGAAGGAGGAAAGATGCAGCCTCACTTACCTCAATCTTCCTTCCTCTCCTTTCCTTGTGCTGGGAATGGGATGTCAGCCACTGGTGCTGGCTGGCCCAGGGCAGCACAAATGGCTGTGCTGAGAGGAGAGTGGGGAGCAGCATGCTATTCATGCTTTGCACTAAAAAATCTCAAAGCCTCTGCCTACAGGCCATGCCTTCCTCTCTCCACGAGGCTGTCTCTCCTCTCTAGCTGAAGAGCCATACAATAATGAAGGAGACATGGAAAAGAGAACGATGGAAAGGAAATGGGTGCAGCTTTGCTGTCATTCCTAGGAACCTGTCTGCCACAGACAAGCACTCTTACCTCAGCATCTCTGCTGACTAGGGGGGGCTCTTTCCTGAGCCAGGTCCCTCCTTCCCACAGGGAAGGGCAGAGCCACATCCTACAGGATTCTAGCCCTGTGCTGTAGCTATGGAGTGTGCAGACAGTGCCAGCTGTGCAGGAGCTCAGTGACTTTGAAGAGGATGGAAGCCAGGGGAAGAGATTTCCTACATCTGCAGCTCTGCATACCAGACACCTACTCCCATCAGCCCCTGCTTTGAGGGCTTCCCCCAGCTCCTTGGATGGACGGTGATCCGATCACATGTACTACCACCACTTCTAGACATCAGTTTGGACTTCTATTTCTTAAAAGCAGTGATCATCCTACAGAAATCAGTCCTGCAGCCCACGGGGATGGACAGAAGAGACAGAAGTAGCTCAAAACAGGCCAGAGAATGGGAAGCTTGGAGACAGTGAGCACTGGGATGAAGAAAACAATGCTGGTGCCAACAGCTTCCCCTACCACAAGGGGAGGACAGAAAGGGGCTCTTCATGCCATTTGTAACCATCTCCAGATGTTTAAGTGGCCTCCATAAGACAGAGGGGAGTGGTTGCTGCCCTCTATGCTCGGCAATGTCCTGCCTGCACACGGTCACATGGTGGTGTGGGAGGGGATTTTCCTCCCCACACCTCAGTATTCAAGTTGGGCAGCAGGAATCTCTAGGAGTAAAAGGAATATCCAGGCAAACAAGCAAAGGAAGAGAGGAGAAAGCAGAGGTTGGTACCGATCCAACCAGCTATCCCCACCCAAAGCAGAGGAGGAATTCCAGGCTGGACATACACAGAAATCTCAGAGGATGAATCGTTATGTGAAACAGACATTTATAACAGTCTGCAAAGTCTCTCCTCTGGCCACTCAGGCATCATCAATGAGCTTTTCACCATTTGCCTGTTCCTTCCCGCTACCCTCTCTCTCGCTTTCTCCTCCTTCTTCTTCCTCTGCACCGTCCGTGTATGTGTCCTTCTGCCCGTAGTTAAGAGTAGTGCGGGCAAGGTCCACCTCAATGGGAAAGACATCTGCATCTCGGAGCACGGCATAGCAGTCGTCGTAGTACTTGGACATGGTGGAGACAAAACGCTGGAGCTGGAACACGATGTCCTGCACTGTAGTGGTGACATGTTGGGAACAAGTCAGGTGCATGAAAACCCCCTTCCCAGACCGAGAGAAGGCTGTGATCAAGCCTCCCTCACAGCATTAGATACAGTCTCCTAAGCATTAATCCCTTTTGTCCCCTGAGGGCGGATGTCTCAGGCACAGCCACAAAAAGGTTCTTTAGTAAAGATTTCCAAGCTGAGATGAAGGAGAGGCACAAAGGCCAAAGCCACGTTTGCATGACCCTTTCAGGGGGTGGCCACAGCAGCGATACTCACCATGTTTCTGGTCCAGGAGCTCTATTTTCTCTAGCACATCCTTCCTCATCTTGGCAAAGCGCGTGCGAGCCTCCTGCCGGCAGCGCAGGATAAGGCGGTATTCATAGTTCCCAGTGCTGACCCTGTAGAGGGGTTCACCCAGAGCCTGCCAAAAACACAGCACCATTTTAGAGACTCCCACAACAGTGCTTGTATCATAAAATCATAGAATGGTTTGGGTTGGAAGGGACTTTAAAGATCATCTAGTTCCAACCCCCCTACCATGGGCAGGGACACCTTGTATGCAAAGTTTGTTGGCTGTTGTGGACTTACAGTGCTTTTGGGTTATTATAGCCCTCTCAGGATCACTGCAACTGCAGTCAGGAAGCACAAAACATGAGGAACACTGAGCCAGGTCAACAACTGGCAGTCAGTGGGGCCACTCTGAAGGCCAAATACACACCAGCCACAGTAACGAAAAACATCACTACTGTGCAAAGCAAAAAGGACCAGCACCTTTCAACTCAGCCTGGAAAAGTGGTATGGCTTCTTATGTGAACTATTAAGACAAGCACTGTGAACAAGAGTCTAAGAGCTGAAGGATATATTAATTTATATCAATCAGACATAAAATTCTGACCTCCTCTGCAAGCTTCCCCTGCCCAGTGCAGGGGAGTTGGACTAGATGACCTTTGAAGGTTCCTTCCACCCCAAACTATTCTATGATTCTATATGGATTGTGTAACATATTATACATCTACACAGAGAACCCTGTGGTATCTACAACCATCCAGACACAACACTAGAAAACAGTAGGGAGGGACCGATACATTGTCCTGCAAAATAGTTTTGAGAGACAGGGGTTAGGTCTGTCAGCAGAACAGCATTCTTCTCTTGCATCAGTAAACATAACTACATAAAAATCCATATTACAGACTATGGCTTGATAATGCACGCTGCATGCTCCAAAACCCAAAGATGTTACTCTGCTGGTCAAGACTGGGATTCTTTCCTTCCCATTTACAAGGAAAGATACAATTAAATGTTATCTTAGGAAAGTTTTATTCCTTCCTGGCACTGGGAACTAGGCATTCCAAACAATCAAATCCCTGCTCTGAGATCAATACCTAGGAAAAAACAATATCTTACTTTAAGGCAGGGCATCCAGACATAGAATCATATAGTCACAGAATCATAGAATGGTTAGGGTTGGAACAACCTTAAGATCATATAGTTCCACACCCCCTTCATGCAGGGGATACCTTTAGCTATCTTAAACAGAGCTGTTAAGGATTACAGTCATAAGCCCCTAAATCCCCTATTGTTAAGAGAGATCCTTTAATCAATTTTCTTCAACTACAAATGCACTATTCACATGCATTTTGCTGCGAAGCAGCTCAACCTCCATTTCTCAGAAACAAGTCCAGACTTAATTATAAGCTGTACACTACACACAAATGGAATCTATGAAAATAACACCTTAATCCTCCTTACATACGCTGATATTACTCAAACACTGAGATAAGCAACCACTGAGCAAACAAGCTGCAGAGATGATGTCTGGTCCCTCTGCTATTCCACAGCGCTAGTGATTCATGACAGTGTTCCCCAGATAGCATTTAAAGATCTCCAGTTTCTAAAATGTTAAGAACAAATGTGTGTAATTCTTAGGATGCGTTCACTAGTTTCATGCAAACAGGAACAGGAGCTATTTTACAATTACAGGGCAGTGTGTATAGGGAAGCTGCACAAAGAGAGTATGCAGTTGTCATTGTTACAGTGGTGGTACTCACAATGCAGCTGTACTCCTCATCATCCATCTCTTTGACTTTCAGGCAGT